TTCAGCACAAAACTGTATTTTTTCAAAAGGTGTTTTGTCTTTAATGCCATCCAAATGTATAATATTCTGCCTGATGAATTCAAATTATATAATATAGATAAGTTCAAATATATCATTTACTTGATAAGCAGTAAGTAAGCATATTCATGCAACCAGACATATTAATTACTTCTTTATAGCTCATACTTCATTTCAATTTATCATGATTTATATTGTTTGCTATGTATGCACCCATAATTTACGATTTATATTGTATTTTTTCTTTCATTTCATGGTTTTCTATCGATTCAAAGTTTGTCACTCAATTTTGTTAGTATAAATAACTCTCGCATAACAATAAAAGGCGTTTATTATTATTATTATTACTTACTGCCTCCTTTGGACGTCCACTGCGTTCTGCATCATCGGGGTCTCTACGAACACGTTTGAACACAGCAAAACGTTTAATTGTTGTTTCTCATGGAGCGGAGTCCCTATAACACTTGCATTGCTTCTCTTGAACGGTATTTTTTCCCATCAAGAAGCAGTGTAAAATTAAAACACTAAATTGTTTTTGATCCATTGTTTTGAAAATAACAAAACTAGTGTCACTCTCAGCACAATGACTCACAAACTTATGAAATTTCAACAGCTCTCTTTTGAAGGTTAGTATCAACTGAAAAGCGGTAAATGCAATGACAAGCGCCATCTATGTGTCAGGCCGGAGACTTTTCAGCCCATGTAGTATGATGTCCTTGAACGATTTCAAGCCAATTTTTCTCTACGAGTCCGAATTGAACCAATGCTCTATCGAAACAGCCTGAAAAATCAACCAGGCGTTTGTCAAATAGTGTTGTTAATTACTTTACAAAATTTCGTTCAATAATTTTAGCTTGTATTACCAGGCCTGAGGACCTGGTTGGGAACAGACCCATCACAAATGGTGTTGGGATGGTGAAAGAACTTGGCATCAGCTCCTCAGGAGGGTTTTAAACGTATTGGAGAGAAAAAAAACTCGATAAGTGGGTGCACGATTTGAACGATCGACAAAAGTTGCCACATTTCGAAGTATGTTCTTCTTTGCTTTTGCGCAACCAAAACGATCCTTTTTAGGATCGGATCGTCACGTATGATAAAAAGTGGATCGTCTACGACAATAGGAGACGTTCAGGACTGTGGCTGGACACCTATCAGTCGCCCAGGTACCACCCAGGTACTTCCTCAAAAATTAGTCTCACCTAAAAATATTCCCTTTTAATTCGAATTTGAGAAATCGTAATGACTGTGGTTTGTTATATTAATTTTGTTTCTTCTGAAATGAAACCTACAAGTCCCATTCAATTCTGCTACGTGTATAGACATTCCGACAGCTCGTTTTTGTGAAATAAATGAATTGGAATACGATGATGATAGAGCTTCTAAAAAAATCATTAAAGGATTCCTGGAATTCTAGATGGCAGAACTCTATCGAAACTGAAAGAAGTGAAATCCACTATACAACTGTGGAATATTACACCCCAAACCAGTACTGGCCACACCCGCTAGAATCATGGACACTTATTGAAAAAAGAAGAAGAAAGTGCGAGAGATGTCTAATTCCAGTGACTGTGAAAAAGTTTTCAGTTGAGTGCCCAAAACTTTTGGTGCCTTGGTGCAGTGTCAAGCATTCAATCCAGATTCTGACTCATCTTCACTCTAAGGCGAAAACTGTAAAATTTCAAATCTACTGAATTTTTTAAATGATATCGAACTTCAAGTAGGTATGACATATATTTTGGCTATAATCAAATCCATTCTTGTTTCTTGTTCCTTATTTTCTATATCTGGTATAAATAAATCTAATCTAGCATGTTGCAAATGACCCTTTCGGTCGATGCAACTTTTTCTTTAATAAAAAATGAATTGGAAACTGTTTGCATCATAAATGACGTCGTCACCTGCCAAGTGTCAAGTGTGGGCATCTACTGTTTGCAACAACCTGGATGCCGACGATTCTGACCAAAACCCATGCAATTTGAACACCCAAAGTGACAAAACTTTGGGGAATGTAAGCCTGTAACAAAATGCACCTTTATAGCCAGCCGTTAATAGGAATTATACAACACGTGCGGAAAAAAATATGGCTATCTATCGGTTTAATGAACCAATTTATATTCCAGCTTGATTTACGATCCCCATAAAACTCCACCATAAAGAACAATACCATTAAAGAAGACCTTATAGAAGAAGTCGCGGTCATTGGCTATTCCGATGAACTGCATTCGCCCAGATAGCGTACTCATTTATACAGTGTGGACCAAAAAGTACCCCCTCCTCTCAACTTTTGACAGCGATATCAAGGTTGAACAGAATTCATGTAGAAAAGCATTATTTTGGTGAGAAAGACAAAAGTGTGTTGCAAAATTAGTTTGAACTTTCTATAGGGTGTTACTTTTTTGGAGTCGTGTTGAAATTTTTCGATATATCACTTCGTTGAAGAAATAATCGAGGTGATAGCCCAAATATTTAATGTAAACTGTCAAACGATAGTGATATGTTGTTAATTGGTTTAAAAATCTAAGACATTGACCACGAGCCACGTTTATATACCTGTCTCTTTTCAATGTACTGAGTGCAATTGAATATTGCATAAGAGCTCTATTATAACACATTCAAAAAAGCAGCCATGAAATATTTTTCCAGTTTAAGAAAATTCAACTAATGTATTTAAGATGTAGTTTCAGTTTTCTTGGAATAAAACAGAATAGTGCTTAAAGTCACCAGAATAGTGCTTAAAATCACCAGCGATGAAAATGTTTTATATCTTCTCAAATTAGATTTTTTTTCGGTAGAATTTTTGTTGTGTTTCAAGAATCTAAGAATTTTCTGAAATGTGGTCGAATTTACGAATCTCATACGACAGGACAATGCAGTTATTCGGGATTACCTGAAGTTGTCATGCGTCAGTTTATATCACTGCAGAACCATAAATATAATCACAATATAATGCACATTTTCGAAACGATGATATCCGGTTTCCACCATTGAGTTTGTCATAAAATTTGACCTTCAGTCACAGACATCAGTTTTTTGAAAACATGAGTTTTCCTTTAAAAGTGTCCATTTTGGCTCACTCTGTACATTATAATTGCGGTTTGCACCATATAATCCAAATTAAACAAAATTTGGATAATGTGCGACAAAATTAATTCAAGCGGGTTGACAAATTGATGCGAAATGCAACCTGAAGAAAGATTGCAATTGCGTAGATTTTGTTTAACGTTGTGGCGCTGTGTTTGTTTTGTGTGTCCTTATCACTCAAATATTCCAGAACTAAAATCGCCAGTTGTTAAAATACTTTTATTCATGGAAAGACATTATCATTAGTTGGGAATTTCATTTAGTTCTTATTGAAGAAGTCACATTGAACTCATGCAAATCTTTATTATAATTTTCCCCATTTTGAAACTGTACTTCATCTTCGGTAAACACACATCCCATCTATTTATAGAAGATATGCATAATAAGTCAATAAATTAATTCATGGGATGTATAATTAAATGTAGGTACTTGATTCACTGTATGTCCACTATCGTTTTTAAATAGACAACGATCAGATATAGATTACCTGAATGCACGATCTTATTTGCAACCATATTAATTATATGTCTACTTGTTGGGATTTGAATATGCCAGAGAAATTATGCATTAGGAGCTGATGACTGGAGTGTAGACAGTGGGAGAGAGATAAAGCTCAAGAAAAAATTGGTTTTTGTTAAATGCTTGAAAATTTCTTGAAGATGTATGCAGACTCACTCGAAACAAGTAATAATGAAATGTGGACCAGCCTAAAATGAGAACAACAAAATAAAGTCGAATATTATACCTACTTTTATGCACAGTAGTTCATATTTCCCTAATTGCTTTGGGAATATTTCTACTGAAAATTAACTTGAATCTAAAATTTCTTGAAGATGTATGCAGACTCACTCGAAACAAGTAATAATAAAATGTGGACCAGCCTTAAATGAAAACAACAAAATAAAGTCGAATATTATACCTATTTTATGCACAGTAGTTCATATTTCCCGAATTGCTTTAGGAATATTTCTACTGAAAATATACTCGAATCGGTTTGAAGAAAATTGAGTTTGTTAAGAATAAAAAGAGCATAAAGCCATTCGTTTTGTTGAATTCCGGAAATGACTTTGTGCTGCCATCTATTGGAGAGTAGTTCAATGTTGTATAATAAAACTGATTTAATTATGTTCCTCCAATCTATATATCTTTCTTTTAATCAACAATAACTACAAATAACCCAAAAACAGTTGACGTTACTTGAAGAGAACATCGCAAAGGGTTCTGAACATTTCATTTCAGAACATATTGATTTTCGACTTTCAACAGTGTTCATTACACTACCGAAAGCAAGATGGCAAAATGAGAAATAATAAACTCAATTGACTTAATGATAGATTCATGACAGATTTTTCACAAATTTATTCTTCTACAAAATCTATTTTTTACCTTTATCGCCATTGCTTTCAACGGAATAGTATTTCTATCGTTATTTGAAGTTATTCTTGAAAAACGCTAGTACATTCTGTGGGAAATTCTCTGACTTTCTTGTCTATCCAAAAAAAGAATCTAGGTAGAACGTAGGTTGCTTTGTATTAGGTAGCATGTCAACACATGATAGTTTCGCTACTGAACGGTAGATGGCAGCACAATGTAAGAAGAATCCAAACTACGAAATGAGATATCAGAAAAGGAATTTACATTAGTGCAGTTTGACAATTCAGTTGAAATGGATTAAACATGTTTAGACGAGTGACCAAACTGTTAAAATTTGACCCTTAATGACTTTTCCTTTTTTCCATGCAATAATGCATGGAAAATGGAAAAGCATCAAGTGCAATATTGCATTTAATGGTCAAAGTAGCTTTGGGCATCAACAATCGTGACCAGAATGTGGATGAATCTGAAACAAGCATCTTTCTCAATCACTTCCATTTCCTTAAAACGCCAACCTTTCGATATGGAAAGTGTGGAGTACGATGCACAACGTTTCCTCCAAGCAAGGCTTGGAGGAAACGGATCCGGCGAGACGGATACGGTTCTGCCGTTTTTTGCTAAACGCAGATATTGACGACGCGTGGTTCTTAAAGTCCATCCTCTGGACTGACGAATCGAAGTTCTCCAGGGAAGGAATTACTAATTTCCACAACCTTCATGAATGGGCTGATAAGGACAGCAATCCAAATTGGAAAAAACAGGTAAATAAATGATTTTTATTATTATTATTTTATTACCCATGTTCAACACGTGTTTAATTACCTAAATTAACTAATTTTATTGCATTTTTGTTTCAGATTTCTTTCCAAAGACAATTTTCAATAAATGTGTGGGCTGGGGTCATCGGACGCACATTGGTTGGCCCACACATTTTGCCTGACAATTTGAATGGACAAAATTACCTCGAATTCATGATAAACGACTTGCCAATGTTACTCTATGATGCCGAAGTGCCAATATTGGACACGGACAGGCCGATCACATTTCAGCAAGATGGATGCCCAGCACATTGGGCTGTAAGCGTCCGCGAACACCTGAACCGCTGTTTTCCTGGCAACTGGATCGGGAGAGACGGACCCATCCCCTGGCCTGCCAGATCGCCCGACCTGACTCCGTTGGATTTTTTTGTGTGGGGTCGGGTGAAAGAACTCGTATACACAACAGAAATCACCACGAGAGAAGAATTACTTCAGCGAATAGAGGCAGCGTTTGAAATTATGAAACAGGAAATGCAAATGAAAGTAACCACAACTGAAGTACGAAATCGTTGTAGAAAGTGTATACGCAATGGTGGAGGACATTTTGAACACCAACAATAAATTTTTACAGTACAAAACATTTTTTTCTTTAATTCCACAAAAATCCATATTTACGACCTTTAACTGGTTCAGGTACCCTAATTAAAAAAGTTTAAGACTTAGCTAGGTAAATGATACCTCAAACGAAAGAGCAATAACTAAGCATGTTTTTAAAGGTGTCTGAACACCTGTATGTATTTTATTTATTTTTTTAATTGGCATCAAAGGTCAGATTTTTTATTTTCTTTCTTTTTTTGTAAAGTTTAAATGCTCTGTACATAACTTTTTTGGACACAATGGTGCTTCAAACTACTTTAGTACGATTGGGGACACATAAGACTACTAAAATAAATTTAAAAAACCGGACATTTCTGTTAAGATTCGAAGTTATTAGCATTTAATTGACCAATTTTGGGTTTTTGTACTAAAAATCGTAAAAGGTCCCTTAAAAATCAAAAACGCGCTAGAAAATAAAAATGTTTGTATGAATATGTTCTACATGGGCTAGTGTATCACCCCCTTAAAGGTTTGCACCCAGCTACCAAACACCCTGTATGTCTTCCTCTGGCAGGTATGACTTATGGTATATTTCCAATAGTTCACCTTGTGTCATATATTTTATAACAGTTGGACAATGTGAATGCTGAAGACTCTCCCAGGATTTCTCTTGCACTGAAAAGAAAATGTGGAAACGACTTTCTGGATAATTCACGTGGTTTTTCTTATCCAATTGGTGTTCTACTCATAATGTTTGCAGAAGAATATGGCACTTTTAAACAAAATGTTGAAGAACGTTTAAGTTTTGTTGAACAAGTGTATAAAAGTCTAGGTCTGAAATGAAACTCCAAAATGTCTAATGGATATTTCTATATTAATACTATTAATACATTCTCTACTTATCTATTACATTTATCACAACATGACGTACTGTATAGGATTATTTTATCTGACCAATAGTGCAGACATTCGATTTATTCATTTAAAGCTATACAACAAATAATTCGTGTAATGTTGAATAACGTAAACTATTTCACGTTTCCCAAGCAAAAATCACACCGTCGCCAAAATGGATGGCGACCTAGACGTTTGTGTTTTCCTCGAATCCATTTTTGTTTAACTAGATATTTACAATGATGTTCCTAGAAAACAATTGTCTCACTGGAGCCCCTGTATATACATTCACAATCTTAAATTATCCCTAGAAACACGTTTTGACAGTTCAATAAATTACCTCCTTTCAATTCCTCAAGACTGGGCATTTAATTTTTTTTTACAAAAAACAACACCGACTGGAATTAACTCTCTGGTGTGGGTTATCACCGTTTTTTTTTTTTTTAGTTTTTATACATGTCGCAGAGGACCTTTTCCATAGGAGTATTGCCGATAGTCTTCTGGAAAAACACCGCTTCAATCCTAATGGCAGGAACTATCCTCAGCAGTGGCAGCATTAGCAGGAGCCTCCCGAATCGAGCCACTTGGCCTGGTAGTTGTGTCCTGCAGTGCTGCCACAACATTACCTGAGCTTGGTCTTGCAGATTTTCTATTTGGCTCGGGTCTTTCAGTCCTCTTGTTTCTGCAACGAAAGATACTATAAAATGACACATCATTTTTTGATCATTGACAAAAAGACGGTAACAGTAAACATGGTCCCAAATGAAAAATATTTTTGAAGGATTTTGGTGCAGGTATAAAATTGCAATTGTTATTAACAAAATAAGATAAAGAAATTGTATTTCATTTTTCGTTAATAACTCAAAAAATATTAATATTTAAGCAATTTTGAAAAAAGCTCGTTAAAGAGGAGGAAATTTCCGATAATGAAGTCCAGACTACCGAAACTCTATTACTATTATTTATAATTTTAATTTGACGTTGAAAATAGGGTTCCGCGCGGCTGTTACGGCATAAGCGCGCTGTCGCTTAAACTAAGAAAATATTTGTTTTCAAATCATAATTATCTCTAGACAACAAAATAGCAAAAAAAAATTCAAAAATATTGAGTTTCTGTATTTGTTTAAAACAATTTAATAAACAAATTACGTAAAAAATTCATATCCTATGTTGATAACTGCCGTTGTTCAATATGAAAACAGACATAACTGAATATCAATTGAAAAAAAAAATTAATCAAGAATTTGTAGATATTTCATTTTGCAATAGTTATAAAAAATCATAATTAACAAATTAATAAATTTTTATGAACTTTTATCGCGGGATCGTATATAGCATATATATCAAAAGGGCTCCACGAAGTTTAAAATATATAGGCCAATTATTTATACCTTTTATCCCATTATTTATGCCAACGGTGATTGGGAAAAAATGTGTTAGCTAACAATTGAATAACTTTTTGAAAAATGGTGATAAAACTTTTTTTTCTACGGGACTCTATTCATTCAAGTGTTAAGAAGATACTAGATTTTTTCCAAATTTTTAAAATGACATTTTATGTTATACAAAAATTATTTCTTTTGATAAACTTTGTAGTGGCAGCGCGCGCATGCCGTAACAGCCACGTGGACCCCTATTTTCAACGACAAATTAAAATTATAAATAATGGAGATAGGACTTTTTTATCGGAAATTTCATCCTCTTTAACGAGCTTTTTTCAAAATTGCCTAAATAATAATATTTTTTGAGTTATTAACGAAAAACTAAATACCATTTTTTTTTTATTAATAACAATTGCAATTTTTTACCTGCACCAAAATTCTTCACAAACATTTTTTTTAGAGGTGATTCCGAATCGAATGAGCTCTCGCTCATATTTTCAGGACCTTTATCTCTATTTTTCATCTTTTGGAACTTGTTGATTAGACCAGCAAACTATAAATCAAGAATTCAACAACAAAGAACCAGTAAATGTATCGAGGAGAACGGTGAATAAATTGAAGATGTATTGAAACTTTCACTTTTTTACTGACACAGAAAAATGAACCGCAGTAGACTTCTCTTACAAGTGGAAATGAAAGGCAAAGACTCACCTGCTCTGAACAAAACTATAGCCTTGAGACAAGCGAACTCTGCTGGATCCACGTGGATGGATTTGAATCGGAGCAGAGTGTCTGCCAAAATCCTAACATCCGTTGCAGAATTACCATTCTTCGCGTGCTCGTTTATGTTGAAGAGCAGACTAGCCGAAACGTCGAGAGGCATACACCACTGGATTGCGTTCAGCAGAAACAGCTCGCTCCAGGCTTCTTCCAATAATATAACCTGAAAAATAAGTGGTGAAATCCGTCAATTTGTTTTGAAAGCAGGAAGTTTTGAAGAAATTCCTTTTCTTCTAGAAGCGAGAAATGAAGTTGAAGGAATGTAGGCTTTCACAGCTTGCGTCAACAACGTAAGTCGATGTCCAAATTCGGTAATTAATGATGTGCCACTATTGTTTTACAGTTTAATGTTGCGGGAAAACTGTTTTCAATGGATATCCTATATGTATAACGTATCAGATCCATTCTATGTATACGTCGAAAATGAAGGAACTCATTACGTACACATCAAGTCCATTTCGGGCCATCACATTCATCAGTACATCTGTAGACGTACGCAATAAATACATTATAGTACGCATTGGGTGCGACTGTGTGTACGTACGCATTACACAATACGTGCATTAAAGTGCGCATTGGTTGCGACTATAATGCACGTAAAAATTGGGTGCGACTGCTGAAAGTATTCATTTTAGATACGATATGAACCAAAAACGGGAGTACTTTGAACGTTTATTTGTGGGAAATGTGTAAGTACCTAGTACGTCCGTAAGACGTACACTGGCCCTAATACGTACGTTCCCAGTACATACGATACATTCTTTTTATACGTCCTCAGTATGTGGGTGCGACCAATAATGTATGTACTCCTAAAAGTATTCCTTTTAGGTTCGATATGAAACAAAAACAGACGTAATGGGAACGTCCATTTGCGGGAAATCTACCTAGTATATATGTACATATATACTACCTAGTATAGATGTACATATAAGATGTACATCAGCCCTAATATGTACGTTCCCAGTACGTACAATTGGTTCTTTCCATACGCCCTCAATATGTCTATGGAACGTATTTGTGCTACACAGGAAACTTACTCAGTTCGTACATATCAAGTCCATTATGTTCATGGAACAATTAAAGATGTTCGACTACGTATATTTCGTAAATAATGGTGAGTACTCAGTACGTGCATTTTAGAAGTACTGGATGCGTCCACCACCAAAGTCCACCACCAAAAAGTCATTTTAAGTACGATATGGACCAAAAATGGATGTACTGGGAATGTTCTTTTGTGCTTGTACTATATGGGATATAGTATAACAATTTTCAATTGGAGGTAACTCATATACAAATTGAACTGAGAGATAACGGCAACAATGTTAAATATTAGAACTAAATTCTTACCGCGGTCATTTTAATTGTCTATGCCTCGCTATTGTAAATAATTGAAAAGTAAGATGATTCCATAAAATTTGCCCCCCGTAACAAGATAGCTTCTGCATATCGATAGGATGTACTAGCGAATAGGTGAACCAGTTCGTTAAATACTTTGAAACATCGGTAAACTGATCAACACTTCGCAGGTCTATTATATTTGCGTCCTTAAAATGCCATAACTAGTTATTCGGTTTCATCATTAGCAAGCGTCCTTATCTGCATAGGCGTAGTGTGTTCTGTTTCTTATGATCACAGTATCTAAGAGCTGGCAAGATACTACTGTAACTAGTTATCGTCAAGCATTTGTGGACGGTTTATCAACAGGGTTACGCTAACCAACGGGTAAAGGGCAACGACTAATTGTCGCCCATATAGGTAGCGAGAGTGGCTTTTTAGACGATAGTGCACTAATTTTTTATACAAAAAAACGGGGTATTATCACGAAGACATGGACGCCCAACGCTTTGAAGGATGGTTTGAATCCCTTCTTTCACGAGTCGAGCCAGCCAGACATGCAGAGTTGGTTAGGATAAAAAGGAATTCCATTTTCCGAGGACATGGTTAAGGCCGAGCTTATGAGTGTCATTAAACAGCATCGTGAGAGATTACGCCAGCATGTGGTGGATACAATAGCTCGTGCTGAAGGCATCACCATTTTGAGACTACCTCTTTACCATTGCGAGTTAAGGCCGATAGAATTAATCTTGGCTCAAATTAAGGGTTACGTAGCTCGTGAAAACGTGACATATAAAATTTCTGATGTCCAACGTTTATTAGAACTCGCAATGGAACGGATACGGAAAGAAGATTGGGCTGATGATGTAGCCCATGTGATCAAGGAAGAAGAGAAAATGTGGAGATTGGTCGGGATGGTACACACTGTTTTCGACCAAATAATAATAGATTTAAGTGTGACTGGGGATTCCACTTCGGACGAGTCAATGGATTCTGAAACGTCATTAGCATAACATAGGTAATTATTTCTTTTCTTTATAGTTCTCTTTCTGTATAAAAAGAACATGATAATTATTTTGTGAATTTTTCTGTTTCTGTATTAGGCATAATAAGAAAATGTAATCAGTTTTACCATTGACACCAGGTAGCGCCACCTACTATAACAATTTTTACGTAAATACCTATGTGTTTAAATGAATAAAAATATTATTTTGGTACGCCTCTGCAGAATTGGTAAGAGGATTATGCGTTGGTCACTTCAAGTGCGACGTTGCTAATGAATCACCTTCATTTGAAAATTGTTATAGTATAGGTACATTTCAAATTCAAATTGAAATATTTTTTGTCTAATGTTCAGCTTCTCCAATACTAAAATTACCGGAGACTTAAAATCTGGAATATATAATTCAAAATCAATAATTTTATGGAATTAACCTAAAATCGTAACCTGCAGCTACTTTTCAGTGAAATTCATAAATAAAAGTATTCCTCAATCAAAATATTAGGTTGTTCGGATGTTTCTACACTTGTTTTGGAGGTATGAATCGATAATGTATGTGTAAATATTAACAATGACCGTATTGTCAGTGTCTGTCAGATCCTCACCTGGTCTCTGAAGGGTAAACTGGCGAAGCTAGGTAGATTTTTCGCCCACTTGACAGCCATGAAAAGCAGCCTAGCCGAGGTTTCGTATATAGTCTCGTGAGATGAAGGGTATAGCCCCGATGTCATGGAAGCAGGATGGGGTTCAGGTCGTAAAGGACCGCTACTGGACGATACGCCACAGACTGAAGAGGGAGTATCGTCTTCTTCGTTGGTTACGTCTATGCTTTCTTCTGCAACATGGAAATCAGTGTATATTACTGTTGAAAGTCATTTAAGATAAGGCAATTCTGCAAGATTGCCAAGTTGGTTTCTGTTAGCAAAATTCGTGTCACATACAGTGTTTCACTGCTGTCTGCTATCTCAGTGTTCGAGATGTGTCTGTGATGTTCACACAAAGACTTCTTCAAATTATCAAGCGCATTTGTTGTGAATATATTTTTCAATGCAGATACAGATACAAAAAATTGGACTGTATATTTTGGCGGAAGAACTGGGATAGTAATTGTATAATTTGGTGAAAGCACAGGGTGTAAGTTTTATGATTTCACAACCATATATTTGAAAGGGGTTACTGATTCAGTTCCTCGATGAAACGAATCCTGTCGATTACAGGCATTGCTTTCCACGTAGGCATAATAATTGTGTTGCATGGAAAACCAAAACTATTGAATCTACTATATAAAAATTGATGTTGGTTGGTTGGTTGGTTGGTAATTTTTCATAGAGAAGGTTTTTAGGCAATGAATTTTTCTGTAACTCGCCACTAGATGGCGCGGTGGAATAGTTTTTTAAAAGTACTGTTCTATAACGCTGCGCAAGCCTAAGTTCGTTGATTCTGATTCAGTCAAAACATTGGAACACCAACGATACAGCAACATAGTACTAGTATTAAATATAGGATGAATTTCTTGCTGGTCATACTACCCCTAAAGTATGGGTCGATGAAACTGTGACCTCATCTAGGAGGGCCTTTCTAGATGGACTATCCACCGGATTAACAAATCCATCAGGTAAACATATTTATATAAACATACTTATATTAAGACCTGCCTCAATCTCAATATATGAAAAGTAACCCTCGTATTTGTTTTATTTACATACATACCTCTTCATAATTTCAGGTAAAGGACAACGGCTTATTATTTGTCACATCGGCAATGAGAACGGGTTTGTTGCTAAAGGGATGTGGTGTTTCGAGTCGAAGAAAACTGGAGATTATCACGAAGAAATGAATGGTGAATCTTTCGAACAGTGGTTTTCCAAAGTTCTACCCCATCTGGAGGATAATGCTGTGCGTAGGGCATGTCAATGTTTACATCCACTCTATCTTGGATTTGAATTCGCTTTAGCTTCACCATATTTTTAAAATTACTTCGGTTTTTTCCTCTAAAGGGCGGGGACGAGGCATTTGAAAATTATAAAGGGATGCTGAAACCTATGAAAACTGTCAAAAGTATCGACATGATTAACGTCAATATTAGACTGACATTTAAATGAAATGCTATTAGTCTCCAGCAAAATAACTAACACAATTGAAAATAACAATAAAATGCACACCTGTTTTACCACAAAAAATTGGTTTCTCGACCAGAATCAGTAACGGAGTTGAAATTCTGCTGCAATTAATAGTTAAAATTATTTATTTGCTAAATATTTGGAGCAAATTTCAAACGCTTGTCAGTTTGAAACGGCTTGGTCGGCTTGGCTTTCAAAACCAGGAGCCACGTGACATCTCTTTATATAAAATGAGGTAATGGTTGCTCTCTTGACACTAGGCCACGTGACCATAGTCATTTTTATGCCAAAACGTAGTAAAAGTAGTAGATTTTTACCTGAATTTTACCCAATGGCTTGTTCCGTTCAAAAGTTGAGCGAAGGGGAGGACTTTTTACGTCCTCAGTGTATTTTAACCATCACGGCCCAAACACGGGACCCTGAGGAATCCCCCAATATAGCACTTTTGGTATTGACATCCTTCATACTCTCGTCTTTTTCCCGTCGATTTATTACGGCAAAAGCGTCATTAAACTCGAAGCATTGAAAAGTTTATGGGCAAAGTTAATGTTCGGATTGGATGCTGTAACACGTCGAAAACAAACTTTAGAAAATCGCTCCCGTAAAATCCCTACGCCCTAATCCGCAACATCTATCGAGAGTTTTAATCTGTCGGGGATTATTTGCAAAGTGTTGTCGTTCACTAATTATCCCCCCGAGAGGGAGGATTCAACCCCGTTCTGACGCCGTGGGGAAGAAGGTAGGTGATTGGTGAGAGAATTGATTTTCTGGGAGTGCTGATTAGTATTCCACTCGTTCGTTATTCATAGGTCGCTCTGTCGGGAGTACCAGAGTATAGACGGGGTAGCTATATAAAATCGACACATCAATCACAGTCACACCGATTTGAATGAAAATATCCAAAAATATTCTTCTTCTCCTTCATCAAGTAATGGCCTCAGCTACTAAGACTATAACGTATCGACTGTGCATTGTATTATTAAATTGTCAGCTGTCAGATTCGAAAGCTGTCCACTGCCTCTTCTTCTTCCATATTCTTTTCAATATTGATTATTTGTAGAAAATTCTGCTACTTTATGTTCAAACCCGCTACGCCGCTATCGACGAGTGAATTCCGCTACGGTAGCGGAATTCCGCTACGGACCGTAGCCTACGGTTGGCAACTCTGTCACACCGAATATATTTCTCACTATATATATACACACATCGGAAAAGTCTAGGGATATTTTTAAAAATGGCAATATTTTTTTTAGATCGCTTTAGGAAAAAAAAAGTTGACGGGTGATTATTAAACGAATGTAACTTACAACAAAATTTATTAAATGGTCAAAAATACTGAGTGCGCATATAAGCAAAACTAAAAAAAATATGGCTCTTCTTTGGCACCCCGAAAAAAAATCATAATACAAAAAAAATTGGAATCAGTACAAAGTATGGCCTCCACGCTGGTTTATTACGGCCCTACATCTATCGTGCATCGACAAAATGAGATTGTCAATGTCTTGTTGAGGTACATTTGCCCA